TCAGCTCTGCAAGGTCCTGGCTGGAGTCTCTTGCCCCCCCCCGCTCACACTGCCTTGGTGGGGGCAGGCAGGGATTTGCCCCCTGCTCAGCCTGGACCAGCCTGGGGGGTTTCCTCTCCCTCTGCAGTGGGGGCACGGCCTGGGCCTGGGCTCTTTCCAGTGCCTACCACCCCCCTGGCAGCAGCAGGACATTGGTGGCCACGGCCCCCCTGTATCCCAGGGGCGAGGGCAATGCTCTGGGCTGCGTTAGGGGCGACTGTGTTGTGCGGTTCCAAGGTCGCACACGGGGTTTGTGTGGGGGGATTGCAGGGGGCTGATCCTACCTCGGGCTGGATGTGACCCTGTAGCTCCCTGCCAGCCCCGTGGCTCTGGGATTTTTGATTCAACCAGGGTGACACAGTGGGCTGCCTTGAGATCCTTCTGAGGGTGCTACAGGGGGCCACACACAATTAGCACCCATAAGTGTGCCAACATGTTCCACAATAGCAACCCTGAGGTTTCAAACAGGAATCCAGAGTGTTAAATCCAGCCTTGCCCACTGTGGCCTTTCTGGGTTGTTTGGAAAAGCAAAAACTGCTCTGTTACATTTCTGTTATTATAAAACCAGTGGCAATTAAGAACTGGCATTTTCCAAGGGGGCTTCAAGTCTAACGAGGGTGCCTTGAGTCTAAAAAGGGTGACACCCACTGAGCTAGAGGCTTTGGAGCCCTTCCTGGGTGCACTGACCCCCCCAGTGCTCTTCCTCTTCTCTCCCTGGCGTGTGTCATGCCCGTCCCCCACTGAGACCTGGGTCTCTGGGGGTGCTGGTGTAGCACAGACAGCAGGGGCAGGTGCTGGGGGCAGGAGCAGGGTGGGTGTGGGGACAGGGCTCTGCCATGTACTCCCCCCATGGCTGTTATAAGGCTTGGCCCCATGCCTCAGTTTCACCACCCTGCAGGGTGGGGCTTCTTGGAGCTGCTCAGGGGGGCATCTCCTGCTCCAGGGTCACTAGGAGGTGCTGGAGGCTGCTGGGAGGGGCTGGGCGAGCTCCTGCCTGCCCTGGCTCTCGGCACCTGCACTGGTGCCCAGCGTGCAGCAGGGGGCGCTACGCACCCGACCAATAACCCTTTGGCCAGGCTGTTGGGAGAGGGGGTTGCCCTAGGGTGGCAGCTGGGTGCCCTGCCTGGATGTCCTGCCCAGCCGTGTTCTCCCTGCTACCCCCAACCCCGGCCCGGGCCACGTGGCTCTGGGAGATGCCCCTCAACTCCCTGGAGGGCATGTAGTCCCAGGCACCCACTTGCCCTGAGCGTGTGGGGAGTCCTCAGCCAGCTGGCCAGGCCCAGAGAGCTTGTTGGGGTCTCCCATGTGCAGAGAGCTCCCCACACACAGCATCCTGCTGTTGCGTCCCTGAGACTGGGGCATGGCAAGGGGCTTTCCACCTGGGCAGGGCACCTGCTGTGTATTGCCTGCTGGCAGGAGGTGACCTGCAGAGGCTCACGGCCCCTTTCCCCAACCCCTGTGTCTCCCCCCCACTTCAGGTCTGCCAGCACCTGGCGCGGCCCCTGCTTCACATGAGCCTGGCCCTGCAGTGCCAGCTGCAGCACCTGGCCTTGCTCCTGCTGCAGAAGGACGCTGAGATCGAGGACTACCGGGAGAGTGGCGCTGTGCTCAGCCGAGGTGAGCGGGGCTGGGAGGAGAGAACGCGTTTCCTTCCCCGCTGCCCTAAGCTGGCCTGTGACGGCCACCTGGCCAGTGCCCAGCCAGCCTTGCTTCATGCTTGACGGCAGCCAAGAGCCCGGGGTGTGGCCCCCCCAGGGAGACCCGGCCCTTGCCCAGTAGCCAGAAGGCTTGTGGGGCCGCCAAGGGGCTCGGTGCTGCCTGCCACGGGGCTGGGAGGGGCCCGGCAGCCTGGGACAGGTGCCAGCTCCCGTGCACATGGGCTTGGAGCACAACCAGGGGCTCCTTCTGGGACATCACGGTGTTCACAGCTGGGCCGTGGGCCTCTGGCCAGCACTGGGACACTCCCCAGGGCCTGGCCCCCTCCCTGAATGGAGAAGGGGACCCTGAGTCCCATTTGCAGTGCTGACACTGGCTGGACCTGGTGCTGGGTCTCACTGGGCAGCAGCACTCGGGGGTCATTGCCCTTGCCCATCAGTGCCCCTCTCCCTCTGGAGACCCCTTGGGAGCTGGGCCTAGCCCGGGGCTACACCTCTGCCAGTCCCTTCACCTGCATTGTGCAGCATGGGGCACCAGGGAATCCAGCTCTGCCAGCATGTGTCTGTCCCCTGGGATGCCTAGGTTCAGGCTGGCACACATGGCCCCCACTCTGGGGTCAAAGGCAGTGCTGAGCTGCCTGGCCATGCCCGCTGCCAGCTCCCGTGTGCTGGCTTGGCAGGGTGTCCTGGAGCTGGGGATGGTGATGGGGCAGACCTCCCCACACCATGTCCTGCCTCCTCACTCCTAGCGGAGAAGCTGCAGCTGGCCCTTCTCCAAGGGGCAGAGGAAGGAGGGGAGGTCTGGGGGCAGCCAGCAGGCATGGGGCAAGGCCTAGCGGTGGGGACATGCCTGGGGGGAGGCTGCAATGCCCCCCAGAGCATAAAAGAGCCCCTCAGGAGGCTTCTCCCATCCCCCAGACCCATGGACAAGCTGAGCCAGGCAGCCCCTGCTCCGTGCTCCAGCCCTGTCTGTGCTGCGGGTCCTGGCTAGAGCCAAAGCAGAGCTGGATGCCTGGAGCTGGTGGCAAGAGCCCCGTGGGGACAAGGCCTTGGCCTCCTGCCTGGGAGAGCTGGAGGCAGCCCCTTTAGCAGTGTTTGTATTCACCCCCCGGTAGACCAGCCTGTGTCACCCATGCCCTAGGCTCCTGCAGCCACTGGGGCGTGGCCAGGTGGGTGGAGGCTCTCCTGATGCCAAGGCCGGTGCCACATGGCTCTGGGCAGGGGGTGAGGGAGGCAGGGGCCATGCCCGGGGACTTCTGACCTGCCCTCATGCATGGTCTCTCTGCAGACCGCCTGCGGACGGAGCCCTTTGAGGAGCAGGCTGTGCTGCAGAGGGTCCTGGCCGAGGTAAGAGCGTGTGGGAGGTGAGGTGTACCAGTGTGAGGGGCTTATGGGCTCTGTGCCTGCTGGATGCACCTTGCATGGGCAGCCTGTTGTGGCACTCCAGAGCACGTGTGGGTTAGTGTGTGCAGGGTTGCGGCTGGGGAGGGGCTTTGCGTGCCAGCACTGGGCTCAGTTGATTTGGCTTTGTGGACAGTAGGGGTGGCCTAGTGTGCTGGATCAGGGTTAGCAGGGCCCAGGGCGCTGGGCTGAGGTTGACATGAGCTGGTGACCATGTGAAGCCCTCGAAGCCATGGCCAGTCCCGTGGCAAGGGCAGGGCAGGCTTGCCTGGGGGAGGGGGCAGTTCCAGGGAGAGGGGGAGGTCGGGGCACCTCTCTCCCTGGAGTGCAGTAAATTAATACTCCCATGTCTGCTGAGCGGCGGCGCAGTGGATGTTGCGGTTCCTGTGGTGGGGGGGCAGCCTTCTCATGGGCCTGGCTGGCACCTGCACATACATCGCTGGGGTGTGAGTGCCATCTCTGTGCAGCAGCTGCCATGGCTCTGCACCCCGAAATACGGGCTGCCCTATATGTTCCTGAGACCTCAAGGGATTGTCATACATGGGTTGTGGGGGCCTTGCCGGTGCTGGGCCAGGGCTCATGGCAGAGCCACAGGAGGGGCCAGCTGGGGACGGGAGCACATGGATGAGCTGTCTCCACCCTGGAGAAGTTCTCCAGGAAAGCCCAGCTCTCTCAGCCGCTCGATAACCCCCACAGACCTAGTGTAGACAGCGCCCTGGTGCTGGGCCTGCCCTTACTGCTGTCCCATGGAAGTCAGCTGCTCCCTGAGGTGAGAGGCACCATAACCACCCTTGTGCTTGCTGCTAGGAGCTAGGCTGGGGCTGTGCTGATGCTTCTGCTGGGCCTCAGCTCTGCAGGGTCCTGGCTACAAGCACTTGCTCCCCTGCTCACACTGCCTTGGAGGGGTCAGCCAGGGGTTTGCCCCCTGCTCAGCCTGGCCCAGCTAGCGGGGGTTTCCACTCCCTCTGCAGCGGGGGCATGGCCTTGGCCTGGGGTCTCTTCAGCACCTACCAACCCCCTGGCAGTGGCAGGGCCAGAGACTCTCCA